ATTATACAGTTCTGATACCTTTGGCCTTCTCATTGTATTCATCAAATAGATGTTTATTATGTCAATAATAAGGTTATCAAAATGAAGTACAAAATATTTTCAATAATGAATTACAAGTTACATCATAATTGTAGGGAGCTATGAAGATGATTATATACATGTATATATATACCTCCGCCTGAAGGCCCTCTGGGGCTACTGCCAGTCCCAAGCCCAGATAAAGGAGGGCTGGGTATGGGTTAGCAACCTCATCCTGTGGAAAACTAACTCGCTAAAAAAACGCTAACCAGAAAAAAATAATTTAAACCACTTAAAGTCTATATACATAGTGAAGATAGTTGTTCATTTGACGAAGATAAAGAAAAGATGAATCAGTGTCAAAACAACCTACGAAGTAATACAGGGCGTGGGGCGGTGGTAATAGGATTAGGTTAAAGTTAAAGATTGGATCTATTACTTTTGACTATAAAGACAAGGCTTGAATCGATGAAATATTAAAGTCCCAACTATGAACAAATTTCTTATCAAGTTCAAACTGGATCCTGTTTGTCTGATTTTGCGAATAGTTTTGAATGGAATTTCTGGTAAAGATAAATGACTAGAATTAATTAGACATTCAACGCTATATCCACTGATTAATTTGTATTCACATTTAGTAAACCGTGTTAGAACAGATGTATTGTAGACAATATGACATTTACTATACGAAAATAAGATGGTGGTTGGAGGTAGTAAACAGGAAACCCTGGGTGACACGGGACCGAATCCGTCAGGGAGAACCAGTTCCCTCAAGATTACAGGTACACCTTGTTGACGAGTGCCAAGTAGCACAAAACCCAGGCCCATGGTTTCCTGTCGACTACCTCCGACCACTATCTCATCTCAACATAGTGCAAGTAATGCCGAGTCACCTAGACTAGTGGCCACATTGCAACTTTGTCGATAGTATTCGATCTGCACTAAGGACTCGACACACATGACATTGGTCACCACCCAGCGATCAGTCAATTGTGACTATAGGAACATGTTAACCAGTAAATAAACAAAGATGTTCAATGTCCCAGTTTATTCTTAATAGATCCTTGGGTCATGTATTCATTAGAGAATGAAATTTATAGCTTAGACAAGGAAAAGGTCTTTCAGGGATTTCGGTAATCGTTTCCTAAAAATCTTTAAAGCCTTATACTTTCTGAGATATAGTCCCATGGTGGTCGGTGACCAATGATTGGTTCATACACCATTTGTTCCTTCAGGATACTGGGGCCCATGTGTACTATTGGTTTGGAATCAGAGTTTTCCAACTCCCCTAGGTGAACTCTCCATGTCCGCCAACATAGTTAAAGCGTCGGGCATTCGCTATTCGTCTTCTCAATTTCGTAAACAACACCCCCGCCGGAAGAAGCCAGTGATCAGGACTTCCCTGTCATTGGTTGTAAGCACGTGGCCATGTGAGAGAAAACGTATAAAATATGAGAATATTTCATTCTTTCCGGCTAAATTTCATCTAATCTATCAATTTTTTTAAGTGAGATAACTTAAAATGGTTCAGTCAAATAGATCACTGATAATAATAAAGATACAAAGTTTAAATTTAGATAAGATTTTGTTGGAAGGAAGAATAAAAAAAGGAGAGATGATTATTGTACTTTGATCATCTATCTTAATATACTTTAGTTCATTAACTAGTCAAAAAACATATACAACCAAATCTTTAAAACATATTACTCAAATGAATCAGTAATCTAAATAACCAAATTTTAAGCGATGTAGTTGTGAGCTCAGGTAAGTTGTTACAGGTTTTATCATTGAAAATAAGTATTGTTTGAATAATGGTGGAGAAGATTAGTAGCTCAGGTGGATGATTTTGATGGAGTTTTGTTCTCTGAGCTGGATGGTTTGGTTGTGGAGCTTTCATCGTTCTTCCGAACGACATCATCAGCACAAACTTCAGAGAGAAGTGAAGTGCTGATGATGTCGTTCGGAAGAACGATGAAAGCTCCACAACCAAACCATCCAGCTCAGAGAACAAAACTCCATCAAAATTGTTTGAATAAGTAAATTAAGCGTGTAATATTTCCCTTATATTTCTTCTAAATACCTCAATTTCATTGTTGATATCAACAAAAATACTAAAAACTATGACTTAAAACACTATATGTTGAAATATTAGACACTTAGATGATCTGATTAAACTTCTAGGTTATCTAGTTTGGCTCAAGCTTTTCGCAAAGTTTTCAATGTATAATATGGGTTTTCTAACCAACAATAACATAGGAGGAATGTTGAGGTGCATTAAATGATTGAGGTTAAGAGTGCATACCACTAGGTAGTTTGAATAGATCGAGATCATCACAAGATTTAGAGGTTTGTAATTGACAAATCTATGGGACTGTAAATAGTAAATAAGACCCAAAACAGTTAACCAGCTTTTTGGTTTATTAATGGTTCTGCTATTAAAACCATTAAATGACTACAAATAATTAATTTGTCATCTCTTCAGTTCACTAAATCCGTATAGTCTAATTAACTGGTTGTGACTAATTAAAAACAGTATTTTAATCTTGATAAATCTTAACTTCAATTTAAAAATAATCAAGCCTCTATGTACATTAATTTATTGCTGAATAGTAAATAATATCATTTTTCTAGTCTTGTCTAGAACTGGTCGAATTCTATCAATCAGGTTGCGATATGGCGACAAGTCAAAGTAAATTGACATGGTATTAGTTGCTAATTTATATTTGTTAGTTAAACAGAAGCTTCACACCTACTGATACTGATCAGCACAGTATACTTGTAATTATAAGGGAACTTGTCTTCTCTGTAAGAATCGAACCTGGACCATACAATTTCACTATGTGAGACGTTAAATTACGTTTGATATTAAAAAAGGTACGATGATAATTAAATAATAGTCAGGCGAATATACATTATAATCGACCATAACAAAATTTATGACCGTTAGCGTTTGTAATAAGAAAATATTTGTCGTTAGCTTTTATTTAGAATTGTGGCATTCTATTCATCATCGGAAATTTACAATAAATGACATATCAGAATGAGTTTTGTGGAGATTTTAGGAAATTTCACAGGTTGAAATCATGAGTCAGTTGAAGCTAGACCACCATTGAAAACCTGGAAGCACTGGACGGCCGTTTCGTCCTAGTATGGGACTCCCCCCGAATCCCGCGGGGGGCGGGTTCGTGGATGTGCACTGCTGAGGAACTAAATGACATAGCTGAAAGCCGTTTTGTGATTTTCCTTTCAGTAGTTCGTACCAACAAGCGTGACTAAAATAAGTCTTTTATCGTACACTATCAGGGAAATAAATTGATAATAACAGGAAAATAGGAACACGATGTTTTGATATGTTTTCTAGCAACTTGTTAGTTAACTGATTGGACCGCAAATGAAATGAGCCATAGTACCATTAATTGTCTCGGAGGACATGATATGTTTCAGCTATGTATATTAAGTTCAGTGGTGTGTACGCCAGATATATGAAGTCAGACCTTCAGGCAATAAAATACATGTAATTTTCGCCTTTGATGGGTCCTAGAAGCGTGTTTTTTTTACATTTTCGTCATTCATTATTTTCAAGTTCTACTGAGAAGTTAGCCTTTTAAATGACCTAATTATGTACAATTGTTTAGCTTACAGTAAATAAAGAAGATATCGGATTGGTTCAAAAACTTAAAGTTATCGTATACCTACTAATATTTTGGCAGTAGTTACACTACGGATGATCCAGATATGAATGTTCTAAATTAACTTATGTCAGGAATCAACTGCAGTTTATAAATATCTCTCTTAATGGCTTTAAAACAACATATTCAAGTATCAAGTAATCAGTGATGTCAAATAATTCTTGTAGTTACTGGATATCAGTTCACTTATAAAGCTTTAACAAAACAAATAATAAATACCAACACAAACATTGTTCATAAACTTTTGAAACAATTACATTGTTTAAAAGGTCATAAATTTTGAAATCCAAAGTCCATTGAAATGGAGGAGCTATTAAGATTATATTTAAGAGAATAATTTCTATTGTGTAAGCTAATCTACGATACTCGTATAGTTGTGTTAATTAATAATAATTTCAATGAGCAGCAGAAATTTAACGTACAACTTTAGATGGTTTAGTGTAAACAGTCCTTTGCGTCCATTAATACCTTAAGAAAGCTTTATATATCTATATTAAAGGCAATATTATAATCCGTTTTAGTGGTCAAGTAACGGATATGAGGTATATACTTTATCAACCATTAGAAAGTTACTCAAGAAGACGATGTTAAAATATGACAGTAAATCCAATTATGGACTTTTCATCGTCTATACTATGACGATATTTTCTACCAATTAAAAGCCAAAATGGAGTAAAAACGCAACTGAGTACAATACCACTCCTATGAATCACATATTTAAGAGTCATAAATGAGAAACTGGTGATTTTTATCTGTATTCAACTAACGAGCAAAAAAAATATAAAAATGATTCTCATTTTACGGAATAGGTATAAACTTATTTACCACAGAGATTAATGTTTTTGCCTCAGTAGAGTAAGATTTACTAGTTTGAAAACTCCTTTAACATAAATTTGCCACAAAATCAGGAAACCTCCTGATTAAAAAACACCAGATATACGATTACATTTCAGAAGTCACAATGATCAAAATGGAATGGTTACGAGTATCCACTCAGGCCAGATCCTTGGCTTTAGCATTGAACTTATAAGGCTTCATTAGTCTGCACCTCCACAAATAGTGCTGTATATGCATATACATAAGTAAACAAATTTATGAAGATAATTGTACGCTATGCATATTTGAACCAAACTACAGTTTGTTACATAAACACCGAACTAAATCACAGACACAGTGTCGTAAAATTCGCAAACGATTGACTAAATGTGGCTGTCAAATATCGTGAGTAAGCTCCATTAATTTTAAATACTTTAGACATTTGAACACATTAAAATTAGCATCAAAATTACATACGCAGAAGTTATAGCCCGATATCTCTCCTGACCAGCTGTGTCCCATATTTGAGCCTTAACAACTTTCCCGTCAACTTTAACATTCCTTTGAATCATTATTTCTGAATTTCATCTATTTACTTTGTGGCGAAATCAACACCTATTGTGCTTTTACTTTCAAGATTAAACTCATCATTCGTGAAACGCGAACGCAAATTTGTCTTTCCAACTCCTGAATCACCTATCAAAACAACTGTAAAAGTGAAAATTTGAAAATGTTGACCTCACTTTTGAAAAGTAAACCCATGTGCGAATCCCTGCTTATCATGATTACAAATAAATATTCAAAAAAACTCACTTGGTTATGCCCTTGATTTTCTAAGCCTTCAAAGCAAAGTATTGTTCAGAATTCAATTTGTTATTCTGATCTGCTACACACTAATTGATTCCTGTAAAGTTTCTTCTTGGCTTCAAATAGGTGTCAAAACATTTTGATTTGGTTGAGTGTAAGCGGTTTACTCACTTCAAAGTACAAAGACTAGAAAATTTGATAGAGGTCGGTGAATCTTTAGTATTCCATGGCTGAAAAGTTCTACGAACACAAGTTATCGCACTTAAAAGCGGTCATTCTGTTACATTGACTGTAGGAAACTTTAAAGTATAAACAGAAAGATGAAAGAGTGTCTACTGCTATTAAATTATGTTACTCACGGCTTAGAGATGTAAAAGAGTAAACAAGTAGGAAAAAGCTGGACAGAGATGCTAGAGAAAAAGGTGTTTTCCGTAAATGATAATCCCGCAATTATTGAATTGTAATAATGAAGAGATTGCGAGCGTTATTGGCCTGTTAACCATTTGAATAGAGTTCAACAGCATATTGTTTTTCAAGGCGCGAGAGTACAAAGAAAGTAAATGGGGTCGAGAAGAGGTCAGATGAGACCAGGCTTAGTCAACGAGGAGAAGAATGATGTGGGCTTTTGTTGCATCACCCCAGAACTTGTCCTCAGCCGTCAACTTGTGCTCCATCATAGCTCGACATTGCGTCGTTCGGCGTTTTCAAAGTCGAACTCAAACCGTTGATGTATCTTCATTCTAAGGACATAAATAAGTCCGCTTGAAGCCCTTACGAATCGTCTACCTGTTTGACAGTTCACTGCTGTCCATATTGATGAGAACTGATGACCCAAATTTTCCTGACATAACCTTAATAAACGTCAGATCAGTGGATGTTAAGTGAAGCTCCTTGTGATTGTCCGGATATTAACGCTTTGGGATTTGAATAAATTCAGTTGACTTTCTTGTAGAACGACCGCTTTTGCACAAAATCCTTTCACCAGCAAGAGAATAAATATCGAAACTTATTTGTTATGTTTAAGTTAAGAGGACGGTGTGAGCCACACTGTCATGTGCTTTTACGAAGTTCAGGAATTGTGCATCCATGGAGAGCTGTTGGCCCTATAGATCTGGCCAACTCTTTCGCTATAGAAATGTGCTTGTGGTAAGAGTTTTGCTTCCTGTGAAGTCATGTCATGCTACTTGGAAGATTTTGTTCTCGTTAATAAACTTCCACATCTGTTCATCCACGAAGATTCCTGATAACTTAAATAGTAGCTGAAGCACTACCACTAGTCTCCTTCCATTCGACGAAACTCCATACCTATTCTTTTAAGTTGGAGAGGGAATTATTTTAAACTACTCTTTTAGTAACTATCAGTGCAATAGACTTGCTTAAATATCAAGCTCTAGCAAATACGACCTGTAAATAACGTAAATATATACTGACTAGCAACATAAGCTAGGACTAATGAATTATCTGGACCTAATTCTTCATATTGTTTCTTCACTTCACGCATAATTATGTTTTAAACTTTTCACTATTCCGTCATATCTTTTCTTCGGACCACTGCCTGTCTAATTTCCAATTTATGAGTTCCATTGCCAAACAACGAATACTCTACTCCCAAACCATACGGTGAGATTTAGCTATACATTTTCTGCAATCATAAAATCATTTCAGATGGCTTGTTCAATGACAACCACACAATTATGTGGATTTGTAGAACTATGGTCTACTATGATATTAGTGCTGCTCTTACAATAGACCTAATCCTAAATTTGTAGATTTGTCATGATATAACTGCCTAATCTATAAGATCTTACGTGGAAATCACACCATCGACTACACCAACTCACTGTATCGTATCAATTACCAATACATGATGTAGAACAAGGTTAGGCTAGAGAAAGAACAATATATTTAATATGAATAGAAGATATAAGGTAACATTCAGCAGAGACCACGCCTGCATGGACGAGCCATGCCACTCGATCAACTCCAGTCCATTCCATTCATTGTTCGCGCCTTCTCCATTGTTAGGTATTTCTCCGTGTTAAATATTGAATATCTATTTTCTGAGTAGTCTTGTGTTCAGCTTTGAAGATTGTGTGGTTATGGTCCAATGCCACTACAGATTCATTTAATTGTTCTGATTCGAGCGAGTGACGAAAACGTCACCGTACCAACCACCCTGGAGTTCGTTGACATAATGCGTGTTTCATTCCGGATGCTTTTGGATCATTACCACTCTTCATGAATGGCATTATATATGTCGTCTTTTAAATAATCTAATCATCGAAAATATTTTAGGTGAGTTTCATGTGTTCCCGTTCCTGGTTAATTTACTATGTTTTTAGCACTTCTTAACATACAGAGATTTTTTTCGTTAGTCTTGTTGTATATAATTGAAACGAGCCACTCCCAAGAATTTTCGTTAGAAATACTTAATACTTTTATACTACCACATACTATTAAGAAAGTGTGTTATTTAAAAACATTTCTTAGTTGTAGTTTCCTTTGCCACATATTTATACATATCACTAGGTTAACGACAGCAGCTTATGAGGTGTTAATAACTCACTATATTCCTAACTGAAATTTCATGTGTGGTCTGAACTTCAAAACTTTTTTTTCATTTTGTGTCACGTTCAAGTTTTTGCTCGTTCCCTTTATTAAAGTACTGTATGTCGATCTATTTGCAATTCATGAACCCAAATAAACAATAGAACCTAGTTTCAATTTAGAAACCAGTTTATTCGCGATTTACAAATAGTCGACTCAAATATCGTTCTTCAATTTTGTAGGTTCCCGAAGCAAAAACTTCCAAATACCAAACCAATGACAAAGCGAAACCAAAAATGTCCGAAAAGAATGATATAAACAAACAAGTTCAAGGGTTAAGTAAAACAAATACATTCAAAAACAGTAAAATTATTGATGTATAATAAAACGGTTTTAATCAGCCAGTTCTATCGTAACATTTTGGCCATGTTTATTATTTTTAATTTGTCATATACCTCAATAACCTGCATGTTAACCTGGCCCGTAGATGCGTTGCATTATATTTACATGTAGGTAATGTCATACTACACTAGTATAATAACTAAACTCCCTGGCTAAACAAAGATTTAAAATAAGAACTCCGGAACCTACTACCAAAATTATGTTTCTCTATCAGTTGCTCATTCAGTGAGTATCTTAAGTCTTTGTCAGTCAAATGGGAGGTTTAGCGACACAATCATGCATGCAAATAATCAGTATAAGCAGTCGAGCAAATCTCCTGCAAACTGAAAACATAACTGTCGAATTCACCCCAAAACTGACTAAGGTTCAAGCCATTATCATAGACATGAGTTGGGAGTGTACTCCCCTTGGCCACAACTTATGTTCTTGCTGATAATCACATGAGCACCACTCACTGATAATCATCTCGTAAAGACCTATTTGGCCGAAGACATCTTTCAGCACCATATCACCTATAATTGTGGCACATAAGGTCAGCAAATTTCAACAACTTATAATCACTATATCTCCATTAAAACGCATTCCATCTTATGCCAAACTGCATACTTGCAACTAGTAGGTGTGAATATAAGTAAATAGTCTATAGCAACGCGGAACATTGAGTCTGGAGCATGACACTTACGAATACACTCGTGTTTAACGGTTTAGCCTTGTCTATCTGTCGGAAATTCACATAATTATCACACACGTATTTAATGTTTTTATAATCATTCGTGTGTATTAGTAGTATTACTAAATTCTGTCACGGACAGGTAAAAATGAGGTCGAGAAAATCTCCCCGGAACTAAGTAAACCGTATCAAACTAACTGGAACATTGGTTGGAATTCTTCTCCACAGTAATACTTTTGTTCCTTCGGTTAGCCTACTAATGCAGATGCAATTGTAAGGCAACTCACATGGACAGCTTACCGCCATAATCGTTATTTGATTTCATAATTTAAATCAAAGCTAATACCAATATTAACATTTTTACAATACTGATTGCTTTCAATATTTATAAACAGAAAATATTTACTACCTATAAGTTAAGTTATTAACTAACGGCTATTAACACGCATCTTACGTTTTATTAATATTATAATCCCATTTTTATAGCCCAAATAATCTTCACCCAAATTTTATGTTGAGCGTGTTAAGCAGGTAAGCAGATACTTTAAAATTAAAACATTCATTTTCCAACCAAATGCTGCCGCATTCTATCAGATTTATATTTCAGTTTATCAATACCCGGAGAATTCTTATTAGTCTTGGTAACCTCTGGCGCGCGATAATCCCATCCAGTTCGGTATCAAACAAACGTCACGTTAATTCTGACGGGAGAGTAGCGTAGTGGCATTGAACCCTAACGCGAGACAATATGGGAAATAGACATTCAACATTTACCGCGTAGAAAAACCCAACGATGAAGAGGGCGGGGAGAATGAATTGAACCAATCCGAGTTGATCGAATGGCATGACCAAGCCTCACAGGCGTGGCCTCTGTCGAATGTTATCTTATATCTTTTATTCATAATAAATATATTGTTCTATCTCTAGCCTAAGCATGTTCTACATCATGCAATGGTGATTGTTACGGTACGATGAGTTGGTATAGACGATGCTATGACTTCTACGTAAGATCTTATAGATTAGGCAGTTATATCTTGACAAGTCTGCAATTTTAGGATCAGGTCTGTTATTAGAGCACTACCAATAACGAGGTAGACCATAATTCTACGGATTTCTCAGTTGTTAATGGAGAAAATCGGTGTGTGATTTCAGTATTATCACTGACACGACAAAGAATTTAACACATTTTAAATCAAAAGGGCAAGTCAAGCAGAGAAATATTTCCTTCAAACTAGTTCTTCATGAGAGCCCTACAATTATATGTTTAACATTGATATTTGCACAATTAATGGTGACCAAGTGTTACAGGAGTACTGAAGATATTTGTTTGATTAACAACACTCATACCGAATACTGGTAATTTCACTGTGTTTTGGGATGCAATTATTCAAGTCAACTTTTA